AAACTCAACAACATGTTGAGTGTCTGAGTTGTTTATACGTTCCCTCTGTGATAACATCTAGCCCTCGTAGCTTTACAAGAGTCTCAGCACTGGTTAGCTTACAATATTTACACTGGTGCAACATGAGCAAGCTTACTGGAGTTTTTCTACAGCAGAATCTGACATTATTTCTGAGCATGATTGATGAAAAAGATTGTGAAAAAGGTCTGTCTTTGCACAGCCTTAGGGAATCAGCTACAAAATCAGTGAAAGCAATCATTTAGATTCATTGTTTTATAGGCCAAGATCAGGTCAAATGCGTTCAGTGATCTCTAAACTTCTGAAGCAGCAGAAAATCTGACATGAGGAATCCTCCGAGGCTCCTCCTGAATTCAGAGGAATGCACTCACCAAGCAGGGATTATCCCTGTCTGTCTGTCTCCCTAAATGCCTTGTTATTCTACAATCTGCACCTGAACTCAATTGTTTCAAAGCCACAGACGCATTCCTGTCCAGACACAACGTCATGAATGAGCTGATGTGCTTTAAAAATGGCTGCAGCACCCAGCCGCCGGTCTGTATGTCTGTGGCATTTACTCATGAAGAATGAGGCTGGGGGGCACTTGTAAACACATGTTGACATCAGAAAGGCATGGGAGAAATGGGGTGTTCGATGCCATTTAATATTCTGAAAAAGTCTTCATTTAAAGCATGGTGACATCTTTATCTGGGTACCTGTAGGACAGTGATGAACACACTTCCCAATACTCAGCAGTCTGACTGGCCTAGTTTAAATTGACTGGGGAACAGGGACTCACTTTTACTACTGTACTGTAATGCAAGAAGGTTCTGCTGACTCATGGAGACTGTGCAAAGGCTCCAGAGTGTTTTACGCGGGCTGCCCACACATCGTTTTAAGAGAGGTGAGCAAACAGTGGCCCTTTACAGTGGCAGGCAAATGGCAGCTTCACATACAATGGAGACAAAAGTGTGGTAAACAGGAGTACTCGAGCCAAGGGTCTGCCCTCTCTACTGCCGCGCACCTCTGGGTGCAAGTGTGTGTTTATGTGTACAAGTTGCTGGGCAGCTGCTGCATAAGACCCCCTGGTATAAATGTATCTACTCTGCAGACGTTTGTTGAATTGCTAATTTCACCACACACATTCAAATCCTTGACAAAAAACCTGAACACTGTCTAAACAACTCCACTTGCTGAGAGATGAAGAGGAAAACCATGTTTGATCCAAGCTGGTGTCTCTTCCTTGTTCTTTCAGCTGACACAGGAGTACTGCGCTAGCTTTCTCATGCTGGCACTCTGCCATGCTGGTAATCAAGTAATTGCAAGTTACTGCACTCATTGTAATTCACTCTAAGTAAAGACTGTCACCAGATGGCTAAAATAACTTGGTAAATACAAGAAAGGAGGTGTTTGGAAAATGTTTTACTGCATGAAGGTGAGATTCTCCAGCAGCCTCTATCCATTTCCTTTCCAGCTGTGCCAACACCTCAAGCCACTGGATGAGGTCCTGCATGTTTCCCCAGCTATTCTCCAAAGATTTACAGCCAAGATAGAGGGGAGCTGAAGATTATTGACATTACCCGCCCCACACCACCTCAAGTATGACGCTGACCTCCTTTTCCAATCTTGCTCCACTGAAAGTATCACCGTGACAAGGAAAGAAATATGAAACAAGAGGGAATGCTCACAAAGAATGTTTTGATCTGAGCATGTGAGATGCAATGTGACTGTGAAAGTGTGTCAGCAAGAAAACTGAGCATGGTAAACAAGGACAACACCATATTATCTTGTAAACGGTTGGCATGCAGGACTATGATCTAAAACAAATCCAGTTTGGGGATTTTTTTTCCCCCCATGAACTGAAACACTTGTGGGTTTTAAAGGAATGAATATGGAAAACAAAAGCTTTTATTAAGTGAAAACAACGGTTTCTGTTTGCTTGCCAAGATATGTCCTACTCAAACTGCAATTTGACAAAGAGAAATGATATTTTATACGAGTTCTGACTGGAGTTTAAAAGAGCAACTGCAAAAACAGTCGGCAAGTCTTCGCACCTTGCTGACTGCACATGGAGTGAGTTCATCCATTTAGAAACCACAAAAATGCTCCAGCTCTAATGGCATCATTTAACAGTCAGTGAGGGTGCCTGGGCCAAGCTTTGTTACCAGGCAAGACAGTCAGTGCATGCAATAAGCCATTGAAATGTAGCAAATAAGAGTTTTATTGGTTATAAATCGTGTTGGACCATTAAACTTTATGTCTTTCCTGAGTGACATTACTCTATCTTAAGCCAAAAGGAGACATTGAGAAAAGACATCTGATAGTCCCATTTTTCTGGATTTCCAACTTGCTGACATTCAGCGGAGCACAATGCATGACACTTCAGCTGTAATACAATGTGTCTTGGTTCTTTACATCAAATACAAGCAGCCTGGCAAGATATCAAATCCTTTATTAAGCTATTTTGTTTTTTCAGATGCTGTATTAGCAAAAACCCTGTTCATACCAGCTCCAGAGAGCGCTGCAGGATTTTGACTGTTTGAGTTCCCACGTGCTGTTCGAGGAGGAAGATAAATGTAGAGCAGGATAAGGGGAGGAATGCATTCAAAGCACCCTTAATTGAGCTGGATGGCCTGCAGTCACAGAAGCTGAACGTCTCAACAAGGCCCAGGCTGGTGAGATCCTGAGATGTGCCTCACACATACACATCATTAAACCGGCTGCTTTGGCTCACGGCTCCACACTGCTGATGAACACTACAGAGACAGTGGGAATTATATGGGAAAGTTGTCTGCAAGGAGCCCCCCCTCCATTCAAAATGAAAGTCCCCTGGTTGCCAGTGAAGGGGAAGTGCTCCCATGCTGAGGCCCACTGGATCAGCCATTGAACAGGGGAACATTCCTCAGTAATTCAGTTTGACCTCAACCCAGTATGGGAGCTGAGGGTCTCCGAATACAGAGTGCCACATACAGAGAGATGACGCAAGGGAAGGGAGAAAGGTTGAGAAAATCGGATATAGAGGAGCGAGAGACCAAGTGATGCACAAGAGATGGAAAGGTGAAAGAACATACGAAGACACATGTCAGTATCTCTGCTAGGGTACTGTTCATTTTGTTGACTGCATTATTCATAAGATTTGCTTCCAGGCTGCTGTTCTGGGTAATGATTATTGCTGTAATGCCAACAAGTACAGCAACTGGCACCCAAAAGGGCCTAGGACATATTTTTTGATGTAAGATAGAAGCTTTTCACATCCATCTCTTTAAAGAACAGTATGCAGACCATGTTAGACCTCTGCCAACTTCTACTATTATCACTCAAACATACAAATGTGCCTGTCTTATGACTTGCAAATCAAAACTGTTAAATGTAGGTCACATGGTTTAGTAAGAGAACACGTTAGCCAAACATGGTGGCAGGGAGAAAATAATAATGTGGGGAAATGGATGAGACGGAGAGAATTACAGTTTTAATTCTCTAAAATCAAATCCCTCCACTTGGCAATCCTCTTATTCACTAATCCCCAGGTAGGTTTGTGAGGGCAACAGGCTCAAACTGCCCACTGCAGCACTGCATCTGCCCTATGGCAAGATGATATCACCAGCTGCTGTCCTGCCCCAAGTAAAGGCTTCAATAATAATAAATCACTTTCTCTGTAATACATAAAGTAAATGTAATTATTTGCCCATGGTTACAGGCATCCTAATGCAGCCCAAAACTCCGCAATACAGTACACCGACTGCACATGTGCTGGACATATAAGCTGCTTGTTTTATGTAGCATATGTACGTATGTTTTTCTCCCATCCTTGGTTCCTATGTGACGTTTTTGTGGTGTTCATCCAACTACAACAATCAAATCTTCATACTGTCAGAGGCCACTAACATGATTTCAAGTGTGCATGTGTAGAATCCTTTTGTGTATGCACACCCCTCAATTGTAGTTTTAAAATCCATTGGTGTATCCAGTCATAAAGCATTCACTACATGGCAGATGCTAACTGGAAGCACTAGTTCCCAGAGGAAAAAAAACAACTCAAACTCAAAAAAGACAGAGAATGGCATTTCTGTCTGGCACTCTGACAACACCAGCGAGAGAGTGATGATACCTCCCATACTCTCCCATGCTCTCATTTTATGTTCCCTTGCAGTTCTGTTTTTAGAGATAACAAATGTAACTAAGAATAAAAAGCCAGTGTCCAGAATCCTACACTTGGCATCCTGCTACTTACAAGCATCCTAGCCTCTGTCTGTAAATATGGTTGGCTATGAGGAAGACCCTGACCTCCCATGACTTTGACACATGAAGACTTGCACTGCAGCACTTCACGCCACATTAGTAAAAAGCTGCAGAGAAGCTGACCACAACAGACAGCCCATATCCCCATAATCCATATTCTCCACAGTTTAGCTGTATCCACACCCACTACGACATCAGTCATTCCAATGTGGGATTTGTGGCCTGGTTAGAAAATCTTAATCTGCCTGACAGAGACCACAGGGAAGGAAACATGCGTTCCTGTGCGCATAAAACCCTGCCATGCTGGACAGTTTTACCTCTGCTTAAACGATGGGTATCGTTTCCTTCTGTTATCAATCAAAATCAAAGTGGTTAACACAGCGCCCCAGTGCTGTTGCCACTAGCAACAAGACGCGATTCCCCTTGCAACTTGCTAAGTGGGCTCACTGCAAATCAAAAATCATCCCTTGCACATGTGCTGCTATATGAAATATGTTTCCTCCATTAGGGATTATTGGGAAAATTGCAGTTCAGGAGAAAGACAGCTAAAGGAGGTGCAGCCGGAGGAAAAATTCACTAAGCCTCTTTGAACCAGGCACAAGCAAAAGCTGAGTGTGCATGCATTCTTGTGACAACAGAGATAGAAAGCATATCCCTAAACAAGAACAGTGGATTTCAATCAACAAGACAGTAAAATATTGAAGTTGCAGGAGACATAATGCAGTATTTTATGTAAAGTGCGCTGATGACTGTCTGTGTCTTACCCTGGTGGAGATGTAGCATCCTGATGCATTCAGAGGACGCACATGGTAATCCACCAGCACACTTCCCTCCTGCCTTGCAGCTGCTACCCACTGATCCGGCAGATGATAAAGTTTACATCCACAATGCAGCACTGCCGGCTCTACACCGCTCCCTGACTGTCTACTTGACTGAGACCAAACTGCCTCTCCTCTCCTTCTCTCTCTTCTCTATGTTCCCTCAAGCACTCAGAATGTTTGCTTCCTTTTCTTTCTCTCCTTCTGTCCTCTACCCTCTGTCTTTCTCAATCAGGCAACATGCGCCGTCTCTCCCAACGCTGCTTCCTCCTGCTCTTCTTTTACCTCATGCTAAATACGCTCTCCCTCTGCACTATGCTTTCTCTCAATAACACACACACACGCTCGGAGGTTCCTCTTCATACAGACAGCTCAGTATGCCTCTCCCACATCCGCCCCACCTCCTGGCTTTATCTTTCCTCAGAATATTTCTCTGGCTCTATCTCCTTCCCTCTGATTTCTCTCCACGGACTGTGTCCCTCCTCCTTTGGCTTGTGGGATGTTTAACATGTGTTCATGAAGACGGCTGTTCTGCTGCCTCACTGAAGGTGGCTCTTTCCTCAGGGGAGGAGAAGCAAGGTTGAGGTGGGGGTTTGCACGAAAGAGGAGGAGGAGTTTTTGGGGGGTTACAACAGTGTCAAGGGAGGTTTAACTCCAACTAGGGGACCTGATCAGGCAGGCGGCAACCAGCTTGTGATGTCCACACTGAAGGTCCCAGCATGCTTCAAGTGAATCACATCTAAAGACAAAACTTTTGGATGTCAAAACTCAAAACCTGACCTAAGAGTTTCTCGTCATAGAATGGGGCACTACACAATAAATCAGCTGAACGGGACAAGAGTGCACACTTTTAGGTAATATCTCTTTGAAAGGAATCATGGTGTTGTACTTGGCTCTAGACACGAAAAGCCATGGAAGCTAAAGCATACAAAAAGGTGGCTGGGGAGAAAAGCTCAGACCCTTCACACCTGGCCAGTTGCTGTGTTAAATGGGCATGATTGTTGGACTGGCATTTTTGAAAAGTTGCAAAAATTGTCAGTTGCAATACCTTCATTTCCAAACTGAAGATCCAAATTTGCTACATTTAAAAATGCATCTTTGTGCCTTTGTCTGGGTCCTATAGCTGCACTATGCCAGGGTTTCTGACACTTGAAAATAGGGCCGTTTGAAAACAGTCCCCAGTGGCTGCGCATCTAAAATAGACAGAGAAAACTGAGCTCTTGCAAAACACAGAGGATAAAATCAAAGTCCCTGACAACAAAATAACAGCTCGAAACAACCAAGGAAGAGGTCAAGATGGAAGGGCAAAGGACAAAAAGTGAAAGGAAGAGACATAAAAAAGGACTGAGAAAGAAAGAAAGAGAGAGAGAAGTGCTTGAGTCTGCCTGGGCTGAGTGACGAACCAGGCTCCAGCCCATCTGCTGCAATCACAATCAGTCTCAGCTGAATGGCTGTGACAAACTGCAGCCTGGAGCCCACAGCCTCAACCAGGCAGGATGCCTGTGAGGGCTGAGGGAGATGAGAAGGGGGGATGAAGAGGCAGAGGAGGAGGGGGGACACACACTCTATTGTCTTCTCCCCAATAGGACCAGTGAGAGAAGGGGCAGGCACTGGAGGGGTAAAAGGGGAATTAAGGGAATTAAAAGGGTCCTGGTGACAGGAGCGCTCAGTTAAAGAGGGTAAAGAAAGGCTGGGGCTGACTTAGAGTCAGGCAGTCACTACCACTTTGCCCCATATTCACTGTCACTAATGTCCTAAATGAACAATGACACTAACCATGTGAGAAAATTAGTTTGCAGGAGAATGGAATGGGGGGTTCTGGATAACTTCAAGATAAAGTAAGGTGGGGGTGACACTGAGATAAGCATGCAGGGGTGACTTGTCACTTACAGAAAAAATTATTCCATGCTGAAAACTGATCATAAAAACTGCCACGGTCTGTCACGTTCTTGTTATCAGACATCTCACAAACCTGGTTGCCACGATCCGACATGTCATCCTAGATCTCAGGAAGATTCATGATGCCTGATTATTGGGCATATGACCACAATGTCATGCAGAGGGGTAATTGTGTTTATCATAAGCGCAGCTGTCCTGCAGGAAATTTTGAACATAGAGTGAGGATGATTTGATTCAAAGAGCAGGTGGTCACCAATTAGGCACTATTGTCCCATTTGGGTATAAAAGACAAATGATGGCTGAGTCAGCACTAACACATAGATGTTCGCTGTAATCAAGAAATATTGAAGGCAGCGTTCCATTCTAATTTAATCAACAGTGAGCAGTGAATTGTTGAGCGGTGGCTCTAGTCTGCAGTGCAGCAAATGCTCAGCAGAGCTTGGTGGTGGCAGCGTTTGGCATCAGGAACAGCCACACACTTATTTCTCACAACCCCCTCTGTCCCCTAATAAGGAAACGGGCTATGTTTGTTTGTGTAGCTTCATTTTCTTCCAGTTTAACAAGGTAATGAGAGTGTTGTGGTGTGTGTGCATGGGGTTGCATCCACAGCTATGTACACATTCACTGTATGTACTTCAGCACAACATTTCCGCCTTAACATCTGTGTTTATGAAGTTCAAAATATTTCAGTTTTGGTGAAATTGTCATAAATGTCTAAATGTAACTATTTGTTTATTAATGAGGGCATAGTTAAAGATGCTGTTGTACTAAACTACATTCTATTCAGAGGTGTCTCTGTGTTATTGTCCTCCCCAGCTGTACATACATGAGATGGTCAGAATATTAGGAACACCTCTGAATGTAACGTAGCCTGGTACAACACCACCTTTGACTATGACCTCAGTAATAAACATGCAATTGAATTTATGCATTTATGACAGTTTCACCAAAAACAAACATTTTGAGCTTCATAAACACAGATGTTAAGGTGGAAATGTTGTACTGAAGTGCATACAATTGTACAGGTGTTCTGTGCCTAATAAAGTGGCTGGTCAGTGTACGGGTCTATGAATGCGTATGGCAATAAAGTATGTGCATTGCTGTTTGTATATGCATTTATAGATAGAGTTAACTTGTACAATATGTGTGTGCACATGCACATATACATATATGGCTGTGTATTTAAGGTCTCACTACCATAAATGTGTTATTTCATTGTGTACGAGTGAATATTAGGGATGGGACAATGGGACTTTCTCTCAGTCTGATTCATGATATGGTGCATACAATTAAATTCAATCACGATGCAATCAAAAATTCAATGACAACAATGTATGACTAGCTGCGGAATACTTGTACTTTAGTCCTCTTTTTTGCCCCTTTTCCAGCATTGGTTTGATTATGTAAAGAACAACCAGATATATTGACTTGCGTTCTGTTGGGCTATCTTATTTACAAAAACTATGAAGTCGCTGGTGTATGGAGACCACACCATATACATCACTTGACAAAATGTTACATATTGTAACATTGTTGTATTGTGATGTATTGAATTTCGATATATTGTCCCATCCCTATATGTGGTGGTTTGTCTGTATTCGTGGTATTAATGTGCATATAAGCGTGTGAGTGTGTGTGTCCACTCTGTGCGCTGAGTGATCTGCTGAGCTCATTAAGGCCCTGCTTATTGCTCTGCCAGGGGTGTCAGTGACAGATTCCACTGTTTGGAAACACTCAGCCTGGCTCCACCACTGTCTGTCTCACAAACACGCACACACACACACACTCAGGCTAGGTTAGCATTCCACAGTGAGGGGGGGGTAGGGAAGGAGACAGGAGCTTGGACCGCAGGTCGATATGGATTGTAACCAGGGACGCAGGGTGGTCAAAGGGCAAAGGATGCTTGTGGTTGTACACGTGTGACGTGTGAGTGTGTGTTGGTACACACAAAGGGTTAGTGTTGTGGTAGAACGTGTATTTAGGTTGCTTGCTTTAAGACCACAACCATCGTCCCCCTTCCCAAGAAGAGCCCGTTCACCCACGAC